CGTTTGTTGTTTAAAGAAAACATCCATTCATTTATTCTAGCATAAGGAAAGATATTATATTTTACTGTATTAAAAAAAATTTAGTAAAATTTCGAACTGTGTAGCACAAAAAACCCAAACAGGGGAGCGAAGGAAATTCGCACAACAGGAAGCTGTAATTGGCCCAGGAGCGCTTGAGCAAACATGGCCAAAGTCAAAGGCAACGGAGGGGGAGAGTTTCTTTATTGGATCGGCAGCTGTTGCCCGATAAGGTCGCACCCAGAGCCCAGATCCCGCACTCCTTACGCCATATCCCACGTCCGGAGACCCGACGCAATGCCAACTGATTGCCGTCTTGCGTGTTGCCTTTCCACCCGAGCCTTATTAATTATGACGGGACATGAATTGATAATGGCCGGGCCTTCAGCCCCCAAGAATTGCCGATGAGCGGCGATAGATAAGCCCCGTCCGGGAGGAGGGTTTCCTCGATGATTGCACTCGATTGGGATCGGAATCGGGACTGGGATCTGATCGGGCTGGGGGTCGGGCAGCTAATGGCGCCCATCCCAAATGAAGTGTAATTATGAGAGTAACGAAACGCTTGTAAAACGGAAAGCGAGAGGAAGTTGACCAGGCCCAGACGCCTGGACGGAATAATAAAAAGTGGAGTTTATGGGGAGAAGTGAGCACTCTTGATAATTGCCTTCAATTACCAGAGTTGCAAAATGTATAAAGATATTTAAATATCTGGATTCACAGGTACTGGTACTGATTTATATTAAATGGGAGTCACAAAAAAAGCTGGGATATAGAATTTTAATACTATTAAACCTGGTAATATGCAAAGATTCTTCAGATTCTTTCATATACTATATCTGGAATCTTTATTAACTAAAGTCTATGCCTTCACAGATCACTAAAGCTCCTCCTGCCCCTAATCAAACCGCCTCCTCCTCCCTTCTGATGCAGACATGTAAATATCATAAAGTTGTGTACAAATAAATCAAATCATGGTGCAGGGCGCTGAGAACAAACAGCCCGCATCAGGCGGCACCAAATACACATGTTTCAATATGTTCAGAGAAAAAAAAAAAACTATACCGAGACCCATCACATCATCCCCCCTGCTATCAGTCAGCCAAAGTTCAATAAACAAAAGTCAAAAGAACGAGACCGAGGGGAGGCGTTGGAGCCCACTAACATACTATATAACTTGAAACCAAATAAAACGCTCTTGTTCCCGTGTGCTTGACAGAGCGAATGCAATCAGAACTCGCACCTTCAGATACAGATACAATGGCAGATACAAGCACAGATACGAGAGCAGTGCCGCAGATACGGATACTGGCAGACACAGATACAATTAGCGTCGACTCTTAGGCAATGGCCTTTGATGTAGGCCCTCGTGATGTTAACAACCGGAGAAATACAACCAAGTGTGAAGACGAGGGGACGAGGCCTCGAAATCAAATTCAATTGAAGAAGTTGAAAGCAGAGAGCTGTGCGGGAAAGTCAATAATCATATTTAATACACCCAATGCTCTCGCTGGAAAGCGTATCCCCATTTATTTTTCTCTGCAAGAAATATAAGGCAAAAAGTGTACAAAATCCGGACCAGCTCAGGAGAATTAAATTAAATGAAATGCTGCCAGTGCCGTTCTGACAGGAAATAAAAAGAGAAAAGCAATAAAATAATAAAAATAAAAAAGTCTACTCAGTACCAGCAATTCATGAATGAAAATTAAGGCATAATCTTGAATGCTTTAATTAGAAAAGCAAATGATTAAATTATGTTTATTATTTGGACCAAGGTGCTAGGGTAGCGAGGTGGCTACCATTCCTTGGGTAACAGCTGAGTCCGTTGTCTGTTTCTGCGTCAGTTCCATGCCCCGCCTCTGTTCCACTCCGTGGCAATTCACTTGGCCAACATCAAAAGCCCATTCGAGTGGCGGCTGCCACTTTCCAAGAGTGCGAAATTAAAACAAAATGTTGCAAGATGCTGCGGGCTGTGCAACCGCTCCTACTGCTCCTCCTGCCCCACAGCTCCTCCGACTTCATCTGGGCCCGTTTTGATTTCGTTTGGCTGATAAGCCGAGCTGGCCGTAGCCGTAGCTCTTCACATCATGCGTAAAACGGCGTCAAAATGCAAATGCAAAATGCCGGGCAAGATTTCCCTCAACCCCGTGCCTCCATTCCTCCCTATGCCCGGCTGTTGCCACCGCCTGGCCACGGCGTAAATAAACATTTTGCGCTTTAATTTATGTTGCAACGTTTGTTGCATGGGGAGCATTTTATTGCACATTCGCCTGGGGCCGCATTGCGAAATTTATCATCAACTGCGAGCTAAATGGGCCAAATGGGGGCAGCATCTCCGCCGCCAAATAAGTTTTCCGCCCATAAACTGTGTTAAATATTTAGTTGTAAAAACTGCCATAAATATTTGTGAAGGGCAGAATTGTTATAGTTCTTTAGTGAATGATATTGTAAAGTGAATGAAGGAGGTGAAATCATGTAGAACAAATCTATTTGATAAAAACAACTGAATTGCAAGTATCTCATTTGTTATTCGTATTTAGTGTGGAAAACAATATGCCACAAGAAAATTGTCAGGTACAAGTCTCTATAATAATACCTTACTTTTGGCAACATTTATTTCATACATACATTCATGTATACCCTAAACATGGCCTAATCCTCTTGCTTCACTTAAGCCAATTTGTGCGGGCCATTCAATGCCGAGATCCAATTAATATTGAGGCCTGATTGGGCACAATTAAGACAATGGCTGTTCGTGGCCATTGAAAACCATTAGAACAGAAATTTTCCAAGTCATGTGACCGGAGGTGATCAAACAATTACCTGGTCCACCTGGCGTCCTTTACCTGCGCCGTGCAACTTCAGCGGACTGCACTCATTTAAAATTTAAATGTGAAAATAATGCAAATTAATGTGGAGGCAGCGTTTTGTTACGGCACCGCTGATAAACAACAACAGGACCGGGCTGGGGCCTGTTTGGACAGTTGCTGTTGTTGGCACACACCATCCAGTGTACATATATTGTTGTCCCGGCCGGATCCCTGGCTCGGGACAAGGACAACATCGTGTACATGTTAATTACTTGTGAAAATATGCAACAGACGGCAAAAACAAGGGCCGCCAGTTGCCATGAGCCAGACTTTTCGCACCAACTCAAATTGCCGGGTCGCCTGTTTTCGGGACCGGGAACCGACACCGTGAGGTGAGGTGAGGTTCGTGGATCGTATCGTTCCTTCTTTATGTTTCTGCTGACGAGTGCCCTTCAAAGTGAACCTGCCCGGCTCAAAGGGCCAACTGTGCCGCGGACCCGCACTCGGACTCAGGACTCGGCTCGACTCCGACGCTTCCGTTTCTATTCCGAAGGGCTTGGCTTGTGTGCGGGCATACTAATTACAAAGGCAAGAAGACACTTACAAAAAATATCAGAGTTCTTATTAGGGAATCATATATTTTATATATTATTTATAAAACAAGAATAGTATATTTAATATTATTTAAAAGGTATAAAGATAAAATTTTCTCAGATTTCAGACAAATAAAAATGTGGTAATATTAGAGGGCTCCTTTATGTTTCTTTATATTAAGCATAAGGTTCTTTCAATTTTTTTGAGTGTATAACCAGAAGCAACAACGGCAACCCCGACGTGCCGCATTGGATGTGGATGTGGATCTTTAATCGCGCCCCCTTGAAGCGACTTTTTGTGCGGCACACACTCATTAAGCGAAACTGAAAACCAGAAACAACTTCAAATCACACATCGTTTCTTTCTTCTTTCTCTTCCGCCCCTTTTGGTACGAGTGTATTTTGTTGCTGTTGTTGTTTTTATTACATTTCGGGACTGCCGGGCTTGTATCTTTCGCTAAGGCCTAATTGCTTTTTATGACAGTCGAGTGAATATGATAAATCTTTTGCCGTGGCCCGACATTATTTCGACATTTGTTTGGCTAGCAACATTCTTGGCAATTAAATTTATGTTTGTATTTCGTTTGTAGTTCGCTCCCCGATAATACTACCTGACATGTGTTACGGGATGGTGGTCACCACCCTCTTCCTTTCAGTTTCAGACCCACCTCTTATCCACCATCCATCCATCAGTTTGTCGGAGGAGCGATGAAAATGTGTCAGCTGTGCAAGTGTCTCCGCGCTTGACACTTATTTGCAATTGGCTTGAGGTTTAAGTCTGGCAGTGGGACAGAAAATTCCATTTAAGTGGCCTTCAGTGGGTTAATCCTCGTTGTGGGCAAATACAGCGGGCCACTACAATTGGGACAAGTGCCGGGTCCACTTTTAAATTCACCAGGGTGTGAAAAATATTCTGCCACTCAAGGGCGAGGAGAATATATTACACTTTTATAGTATGTACTTATTTTTTTAATATTGAAAAATTCATGTTCGTAAGGATCTTAATTGAGATTAAAAAAGGCTTGTCATTATTCTTCTTGGCCTACATTTTTATTTTAAGCAATAAATGTTGATGATTTTTAGTCATTAATTAGTCACTTAAGTATTTTTCTCCCTTGTAGCAATTCAAAACACTAATATTATACATGCATTGTCAAAGCTAATCATAATTTGTACAAAGAGAAATCCAATATGCTATAAAATACATAAATCACATCAAGTTGTTTAAATATCTACAATCTATAAATATTCGTCATGGACAAATATATGTCTTTATACCCTAAAACATATTAGCATATGTTTAGATAAACCTCCGAAGCAAATTCAAAATTTATATAAACTCTGAATTATTATAGATTTGCAAGAGTCTTTAGCAAATTTGACCGACTTAACCTCAGCTGTGACTAACGTTAGGCATAATTTTTGAAAACATTTTCTGTGTCAAATGAGGTAAGGCCGAGGTCTTGGCAAAAGTGAAATCCGCCAAGACAAATATGGCACTGAGCTGGCAAAGTTTCCGCGGGAATAAAGCCAACCCAAGCGAGCCCAAGCCATATTGATCCGACAACAATTTCTCTTTCAGCGCGCTTACAGTACTTTTGTGGAAGTGGAACTGGGACTGGGACTGACATTCGGCAGATTAGCATTCGGAGAGCTGTGAAAATGTTTCGTAATTTTGTGAATTTTACAAACAAATACAAAATCGTCCGGGGCATGATATCATATGGCACCCTCTGGCCCTGCGGTTCCCTCATTGAGCAAACTCTGATCGAAAAGAAGACATTCCGAACGTACGACTGGATGAAGTGTCTCAGGTTGTAACCTATATATCTTAGCCTGGATTGATGGCTAATTCTTTAACTTTTTCCCCTGCAGATTTAGCTTATTCGGCTTCTTTTTCATGGGCCCAACCATATATGTGTGGATCCGACTGGCGGGCGTTATGTGGCCACGCACCGATATTAAGTCATCGTTGTGCAAGGCGATCACCGAACAGACCGCATATGACCCGATGGCCATCAGTTCTTTTCTCTTCTTCATGACCCTGATGGAGGGCAACACATACGCAGACGCCAGGCGGGAGGTAAGGACACTAGCTTTGATTTACAGGTTATAGAATAATATGTTGGGTATATCTGGGATAGCATTTTATTGAAAAAAAGCTATTCTGTGCTATATGTCTTCATAATATTATACTCAAGCGTATAAAATGGGAATCTGATCATTGGAAACCTACCATCTCCCAGTTGTGCTCATTTCTTTGTGGCCAGTTTTCCATTCGATATTACCTTGTGGTATTTATTTTGGAATTGGGTCTCGGATTTCCACCGGGCTTCTTGCCGCAGTTTCGGTGTGTGGGTTTTTTGTTTTCGGAAATCCATTTTCTCACGACACCGTGGCGGTATCTGAATCTTTGTATCTGTCTCTCTGCGGCGCAGCATCTGTATCGGCCTCCGTATCTGTATCTGCGACTGCGGCTGTAATGTAAGCATGCATAAATATCACCTGTCTGTCGCCAGCCTCCGTCCCTGCCTGCATATCCATTTCTCCGTCTGGTCCTCCGCTTCAAGTTGTCAGCATTGATTTGTTGGCTCTGCGGCCATACTTTGAGATACTTCGAGTTACTTTGGAATAGTTCGGGGCACTTCGCTCCGGGCTCGAGTTCGGTTCGATGACTGGCCCCTGGCTGACTTCCACATCATTAGAAACCATTTATCTTGATAAATGTAAATGTTTTACCATATATTTGTGTCAGACATGCGTCGTCTCATTTGCTTTGCATGCGTTCCCCGAAGATCTATGGCCCGACTTTGCCTGGTCGATGTGATTGGCTCCGGTTTTTGGCCGTTAAAGAGTTTTGTTCGCGGAGAATGAAGACATTGTCCTCCTGGTCATTTCAAACGAACCAGTGAACGAAACAAATACTAATGTATCTTTGTATCTAAAATGTTTCTTGAAAAATATATCTATAAAGACCCGTTCACAGAAATATCCATATATTTGTTTCACTTACTTTTCTCAGCAAACTAAATTCTATTAAATTCAAAAATTAAAATGGAAAAGTATGCTCACAACGGTGGCCACTCGATAATTAATAGGCAGACCTCGACAACTGCCCCGCGGCTGACTTTTAGCTCTGGATATCGTTTACACATTCACACTCGGTTCAGGGCAAATGTTGGCAAAAGTGAAAATTTCGTAGCCCGGCAATGGCGATACCTTTCAATTAACAACATTAACAAAAATGCCACACCCCCCAGCAAAAAGAGAGAGAGCAGTCTGGGCAATAAATAAAATTTTAAAGGTCTCCCCGCACCGTCGCATGCCTGACACTTAATTACAATTTTCCGCACTGGCATTTTCCGGCTCCTAGTATTATGTCACCGCACTCACACCTCCCGATGCTCCTCCTCTCGTTCCCAGGTCAGCGATAAATTCCTGGACGCCTACAAGGTGGGCGTTATTTATTGGCCCTGCGTGCAGACGGTGAACTTCGCCTTCGTGCCGGCGCGGAACCAGGTCATCTTCACCTCCTTCTTCAGCATGTGCTGGACCACGTTTCTGGCCTACGTCAAGTTCCTGCAGCTGCATCCACCAGTGGACGTGGACCACCATGCCATGGACATTCACTTCCTGGAGATGTGAGTCCCGATTGGAGTTGAAATCTAAGTCGGAGTTCCAGCCATCTAATTTTTATTATTTATTTATTTCTATTTTATGAGGTCTATTAAAAATTTATAAATTTATGTGAGTCCATTAAATGCGGCTGATAAATGAGTTTAGATAAGTTAGCAGTTTGTCGTTAAATTGGATGATATCATGCACTGATTATAGTTTGAAATTTTATGTGTTTAGAACTTCGGAAAATTGGAAATAAGGAGGAGGTTGCTGGATTTGTACAATCAAAAAACAAAGTACAGTCCGATTTTAATGAAATTCAAAAAGAATTTAATTCAAGGGAATCGATTTTACCAAATAAAAAACTTTGCCAAACTCTGACTGACAAAGTTTGTTGCATAAATTGACCCGGATCAGCATTTATCAAAATTAATATTTATTATTTGCGCGCTTCTTTCGCTCTGGGAATGGGGTTCCATTAAAATGCATACGCAACATCTATGCATATTATATACGTTTGCCATATAATATATATGTATCTGAATATCTGCGGGTTCGTTGAAGTGGAACTGGTCGGAAGGGCGCCATGAAGGGGAACTAAGGGGTCGTGCTGAATGCGAGAGAACTGAATGCATAAATAATGCCGATTTAGATTATTCTGAAACAGAAACATCATCGCCGAGCTGCGGTCTGCACTCGGATATTCGCATTCGGATTCGGATTTGGATTTGGACAAAAATGCCACAGAGCAGAGCGCAGACGATGACGAGGCCATAATCAGGCGAATTAATATGGAAATTTATGCAGAGCGAAAAATGAAACCGCAGAAGTAAGCCCAGAACAGCAAGTCGAAACCAAAACGCAGACCTATACCGAAACCCGAACGCATGTGGGTTCTGTTATCAGTCCGGGAAAACGTGGCGCACTTCCTGGCCAAACGAGCGGTTTTGTTGGACAACACAGCACAGAAAACAAAAAGGGTAACGTTTTTTAAAAGTTAAAATAAATACCACAGAAGATTCATGAAAATAAAGGTAAACCTATAATTTTTCTTAAGAAAGTTCTAATACTTAATTCAAAATTCATACGAAATAATATCCGTTATTCTTTAATTTTATTAATTACTAAATATCCAGGGTCTTCTGAATTATGTATAATTTCACAAAAATTCTTCTCCGTGTACCCAAGCTGCGAACAAACAATTGAAACAAGAGTTTCATTTAATTCTGCGTCGGCTGGCAGGCCAATTTCCTATCCGCCCTGCGCCCATTTCTCAGTGTCTTGCCGGGGTCTTTATGCCGCTGTTTTATAGCGCATTAATTTCGAAAGTAGCGCTACGTGTGCCAAAAATCATTAGCAACGGAATTACGCTCAATGAAATGCAGTCGGCGTCGCGTCGCGTTGCCGGCAAACAAAAGCCGTCCAAGGGGAGATAATAAAGCGTGGCCGGGCCCAGGCCAGGCCGGTCTTCGTCCTCGTCCTCCGTTGTCGATGATGACGGAACCGGGGAATTCCGAGTTCAAAGCGGAGTGGAAGTGGGAAAAAGCAAAGGGGCCGGGTAACAGCAGGGGAAAGGTGGAAAATAGCAGTTGGAAGGGGGGAAAAGTCGACACCCGTCAGCCGGCAGCCAGCCGCTTGACGTTAACGTTTCTGCTGCTTATAAATTTACCCTAACGACAAGTTAAATGCTGAATACGAAATGCCGCTGACGGAAGGGTTCCCATTCGGGAACCCTCAAGAGATATTCGAACACAGGCCGGAGAATTTGCCGCCAAGATAAAGCCCTAATGTGCTTGATGTCGAAATTTGAAAATGTATGCAAAGGGAAAGGAAAGTTGACGTGGAACTTTGAGTGCTTCGGCAGACCAATTAAAATTTAATTATTTACCAAGACAACACGAAATGCCTAGATCATTCCAAATACCTTTTACAAATTGATTGAAAATTTAAAAGTAGTTTGTAAACATTAAGATACATAAAACAATATTATTCCAACAGATAATTAAACTTATATTCAGAATTTAACTTTAGTCAGTTTTATAGATCTTAAGGAAAACCGAAAACAGGAAATATTTTGTATAAAACCAAAATGAAATATGGAAATTCAAATCATCCAAAAATTCATTATATATTAAAAGTTGCATGGGTATCAGCCCTGTCCATTCAAACAGGCAACAATGCGTAGATTCTCTAGAGTATTTATTCATTTGATTTAATCAAGAGTACATATCAGATCAGAATTTCGGGCAGATATCAGACCAATCCGAAAAAATTAACAGGTTGCGTATCTGAATCTGGCAATGGACTGGCAATCTTATCGCTGGGGAATAAACCATTATTAGATAATAAGCGGAACTAATTTGCTAAATGAAATTATGCAAATGGCGTGTGCAATCAGTTCGATTTGAGACCGTCAGGTGCGAGTACTTCGTAGCATGTTCAAATCCAAGTCCTTCGATTTGGTGAATGAGGAGAAGACAAAGAAGCCGGAACGACTCTATCAGCCGCGTCGGATGCGATGGCTAAAATACATTATACTGCCGGCCGTCTTTGCGTTTGTGCTCCTTTTAATCCTGGTCAATGTGGATTTCTCCGACAACAGTGAGGAAGTGACCTCCAGTTCAACGAGTCTAGGGTTGCACAGAGACTACGACTGGGAATCGGATTCAGGATATGTCTCAACTGAAGCCATAATTAGTGGCAAAGAGAATTCCACTCAAAAAATTTCAAGAGGCTATGGTCCGGGACTTGTGGGAGTCACGACTACAACAACTAGTAAAGCAGAATCGACAACAACAAAAGCATATACTACTTCAATTTCAAGTACAACTTCAACAACACATAGTACTAGTACACCAATACCTAGCGAAGCACCAACAATACCTAACGAAGCACCAACAATACCTAACGAAGCACCAACAATACCCACCACCACCCAATCACCGAATTACGGCGAAGAGCTGAGCGAGGAATACACGTGTTCTGTACCCCAGGAGGATAGTACAACGATAACAATGCCCTCAGAAATGATACTTAAGTTCAAGGATCCAAAAAACCATAAGCTTGAGGTCGCCATAAGCGATTGTGAGTCCCCTCAAATGCGAATAATCTACTTTACAAACAACTCGTTCACAGGATCCCTAGATCAAGAGAGTTTGGAAGTAACGTTAAGTAATATAACATTCGGTTTGAACTGCGGAAAACCTTACATTTACTGCGTTATGCTGGGCGGGAGAGTAGCCGATACGCCACATTGTCTTCCCCACAGGACAATGATATGTGAGGTCTATACTTCGGAAACAGACTCCTGGTTCGAGGCTAACGGGGGTCTGGTCATTGGCCTAGGAGTGGCTACTATTTTGATAAGCAGCCTCCTCGGAATGCTGATATTGTACGGCACCCTCCGTTGGAAGCCCTCCCTGTTGAGGGGGAGTAAGCACCAGATTGGTCCTTCACGGGATTCGAATACAATGGTTCTGATTCCCCAGGAGTCCGAAAAGAACGAGTACGGCATGACAAGGTATACTATTAATCTTTAAAGAAGAATACTACTAATTGTGATAATGAATCATATATTTTTGATATGCCTTTATTAACTTTATCTATTTTTGTTTCTAATCAGAACTCCGATTTCAACGGTGGACAATAACGAATACATAGTCGCTTATCACCGATATCTGGAGCAGGCGAATCTCCGGCAGTTGGAGTCCAATAAATACATAAGTCCGCCCAGGGAAAGGGCACCCTCTGTACCGCCATCCTGTGACAGTTCCTCCCATTTCCCGCCTTCTCTGCCGGCCAGGAATGTGTACGAGAGTCTCGATATTTACGAGGAACTGCCATAGAGCTATAAGTTTCGAATATCTTAATATCTATAACTGTTGCAAAAAACAAAATTATAAGAAATGTATTTATGGAAAGGCATTTGGTAGAATCGGAATACCTAAAGCTTGTTTGTGGGTTACATTAAAGTTTAAATTTGTATTGAAATTATTTTTACTATGAGTTCCTAGCATTCCTTACTACTAGTAATATTATCCTCCTAAAATATATCATACAAATGCAATAATTAAATGTAACTTTCTATAAAGATAACCGAATACTTCAAGCTAATAAATATTATAATTCTTTGCGTAATTTCAATGCCTTGATCTGTTATTGACTTGATCCTGTTAGATTCCTTTAGCAATGAATTCAAGTTAAAATAAGCCTTGACTACACAAAGTTGATTAAACATTGAAGAATGACAACACATTTAATATTACTTGTGTATTTTATATTTATTTTTCTGTTTGCATCTCCTAATAAAAACTGGGCCCCCATGTCTGGCTCATGATTCTGTGAAAGCTGGCACAGTTCAATGCTTTTATTTAGCTTTAATGAGCCCCAGTTAGCGATGAGGGCGCAAAAAACTCCATCTGAATGCTCCCCATTGTAGAGTCTGTGGAGCCTGGCATTTGCCCTTGCTGGGGACTCGGAGATGTACTCGTGGTGCACAGTTTGTTGACTTGCCACATGCACAATAAAATATTTTTGTAAGCGCTTTTTATGGCTGACATATCTCTTAATACACACACACACACACACACACACACACAGATCTCTTTTTGCGAGCGTTTTGCCAATTTATTTGCGCTCCCCCCGTTCCAGCTGGGATGTTTGGTTTTATTTTTCGGTGCCCTGCAGGCTGTCGCTGCCATAATTTCCCAGGCACATCCCCAGCTAAGCGGGGGAGACGGGGGAGGGGACTCTGTCAAAGTCCGGCCAAGTCTCTCGGCCATATGTTGCACACATTATGCTTACTTAACAATTAGAGACGCTCTTGTAATTCCACAAAATTGCTTTGTTCGCTTGGATTTTTGTTTTTCTTTTTTTTTCGTTTTTCGCTTCGAGGGAGGCTGGCGACTTGTGGGGAAGGGGAGAAACGGTGCCAGTACTATATGCTATATGCTGTTTCGGGGGCAGGGGTTGGGAAGGAAGTGCCGCAGAGTGGCTTTTGTGCTTGTTCCTTTCAGAGCTCTTTGGTCACTGAGCTGTGAATGGTTATGAGCTTTAAATCCGAGGAAAATGCTTTGATAGCCAGGCTGCAGTTATGTGTGGGAACGGAAACTAGTCAGGGTAATGCTCGCCGAAGGTAAGACTTGAGTTTTCCGGTAACCAGAACATCGTTCTTTGAGAGCGTTAAACGAAATTGGGATTTGTTATTCAACATTCCAAAAATGGGATAATTAAAAAATTAATCTAGGGAAAAGAACAATGACAAGCAAAATGATAGTATGTCGTTACTCATCTTGTTACTATAAAGTTAAAGATCGTTTGGAAATTTAAAAAATTTCACATCTTTGATTAGGTTTGATCGCTAAGCTTTTAAATATATAGCATTATATATAATGTGTTTGGAAATAATTAAATCTTTTGTCAGCTCGCTGATTGACTTACGAAATGTATTCCATCATGCGATTAGATCGTCATCCGTAATGAACGCTCAAGTGGCACACACTGTGTTCCCAGAAGTCGAAACCCTACTCCGCACAGTTCACTTCACTGGCGGCGGGACGGGACTTCCCATTATCTCAAGTGTGAGGCGAGGGAAACCCTAGACGGTGTCACAGCCGAATGCATCTGGACAATCCCATATGTGGGCAACTGGATCGATGCGATATCTGTCGCGATTGATATTAATGATTTGCAGCAGAGGCCATTAAGTTGTTTTGTACCTTTCCATCATCAGAAAACTAGGAAAACTCTCCGATTGCCTGAAGCGAAGGCGTCACTCCAGACAGACATTGTGCACAGGAGGTCTACCCTCGCTGGGAAACCCCATTGCTCTGGCTACGAAATCAAAGACCCTTTCGCTCATTTTCCATTTTCCATTTGCCCGCTGATAACGGACACGAACCAACGGCCCCGTAACGTGGCATTTGTTTAATGGATTAAAAATAATAGGTACGAGCGGGCAGCGGGGAAGCAGGAAAGCAGGAAAAGCGGGCCCAGTACAGATAAAAATCGCAGCACGTTTTGTGTGCGCAGGGAAAATGGAAAATGTGCCGCGGCGTGTCATAAATTAATTTTTGTAAATTCTGCAGCCTGTCTGATTCGGTTACGGATCGGTATCGGCTTTATCTCCGGCCCCGAGACAGGGATTCTTATTAATAATAATAATGCCACACGGCTTTGATGGACAGACAAAGGATTTTCCCGGACGTTGTGGGTGGGTGGACTCGCTCTATGGATGCGAAACCACTTTCATTTCGGGCCTTCAAGGGTTGAAAGCATCCCATTCCCCCCGCTTGGCTGCGGTTGTCAGGCGGAGAAGCTTTTAAAAAAATTATGCAAAAATCATGATTAGGCAATTTCCCGATGCTGGAATGGAACGGTCTGCGGGTTGTGTCTCCCGGCAGCTAATTAGCCATTCATGGAGTGTAGTGAGCTGTCGGGGGAATATTTAAACAGTTGGCTGCTTCCCAGAAAGCGGCGGCAAAAGTTTAATTAGTCCGGGCGAATGAATGTGCCTTATGAATATGAAATCCGCACACAAATCTATTCAGCCCCGATCAGACGCACTCGTATCCTTGAGACTCCTTCCCGGTTTGGCTTGGTTCGGTTCGGTTCAGTTCTCTTCAGTTCGGTTGAGTTGAGTTGCGACTAATGAGCCCGCGCAGAATTGGCGCGAAGCTAAACAAAAACGGCTCACAAAATGTAGCAATTATGGGGCGGGACGGAGAAAAACTCACATTAATGACAAAAGCCAGCCAAGTACTCGGCGCACGAGGAGAGGCTGCTTAAGACCCGCAACAAACGAGGGGCACTTAAAAGATGAAACATAAAACGGAGCCCCAGAAGCCCATAAAAAACACATTGTGCCGGGGCCGCACTTGAAAGGCGAGTTCTTGCCGCATACCCCTCGCCCTGTGCGTCCTTTACACTTGAAAACATTGCTTTTCTATTCATAATATGTGCTGGGCATATGATTCCTTTCAACATTTCCATTTGCATATAATTGAAATCTATACCTATCTGATTCCCTTAAAGTACACAGGTATAGTAATAGAAAAAGAACAAGAGAACAACAAGAGCTGTATAATAATAGTGTCCAATTCAGGCCTTGGAATCCTTGAAACTGGTTTGGCCAAAATCGGTTAATAAACTTGGAAAACAATAAAGCTTCGAGGTTTATATCCTCAGTGTAGCCTTGCCATATGGGACAAAGAAGCAGTTGCTTTGTACTCGGCGGAAGGGGCTGTCATAAAATTGCAACATAAAAATAAAAATTAAACCACTAAACGCAGTCCAAACGCGACCGACTTGCGTCCAGGCCCTGACTTTTAAGTTCTCCGTTCGTCCTTCCCTTAGAAATCGATTTGACTTTGGGCTGCTGGCTCGACAGTTCGCAGAGCGACCCCAAGGGCAGGACCTCACGTTCGCCCGCGATAAGGACGAGGGTGTGCGAGTACCCCTAATGATATTCAATAATAATACATGCGCATAAAACCCACTTGCGACCCACCGCCCGAGAGTCGTCAACATTTCAGACATGCTCCGGCTGCGCCTTCAGAATTTAATGTGCTTATAATGCCGCCCGCTGGCTCTTCCAGCCATAAACAGATGCAGTCCTCACTCCCAGATAATCCCCACGCCCTATCCCGATCCCGATTCCGATTCGAATCGGATACGGCACACACGCAGCCACACTCACGTAATTGTGAGCCCAGCACCCTCGACACATTTTTAACAGCAAATGATGTCAATTTCCATGCCCGCCAAGGGCAGAGTTAGCATCGTTGTTGCGTTGGGAAAACTCCCCAGATGGAAACGCAGGATGGAGGTCCCTGGAAATGCTGAACGCGTTTTGTTATTCTATCGAAAATTGAACTTAATTGGTGCGTGAAGTGTGCACTGAGTGGATTTTGATGGTTGCCAGGCAACTATTGTAGTAGAGCTGCAAATTTGTCAGCGCCGTTGCTTTTCTTTACGCTCTCCGCCCCGAGAAGGCCCAAGGCCCATGGCCCCAGACTCAAGACCCATCCACCTGGCCTCATTATAATTTGCCAACAGTCAACAGACAGGGCTGCGATCAAATTGGACAGGCTGTGCGATATGTGCGAGGGAGGAACTTGAATAAAGAAGGATAATGAGATTCACAGGACCCAAACTATGGAGACTTAAATAAACATTTATATTGGTTATTCAATTTTAAAAACATTCCGTCATAATGAATAAGCTTCAGAAAGAAAATTCTATGAAAATATCAGAGAAATCAAATTATTAAATCCTATTGATCAAAGTTTCTTTTTCTTTTTTAATAAAATTTTATAGTAGTTTGAAATTTTGGTATAATTTTATGTTTTTCTGAAACACATTCCCTGAAAGTATGCAACATTTTGTAGTACACCGATGACTTACATTTTTAGTTTTTATACAAAAATTTGTATGAATATTAAAATAAATAAAACTGGATAAAAAAAATAGTATTTAAAACATTTATAGAAGTTTAACACATTTACACATTTTTACACGTTTATAGACTCTAAAAACTAAGATAAATGATGATGAATTAGTTATAAAGTAACAGAGAAATAACAGGTTTGTAAATGGACTCTGTTTTTCAACACGATTTAGGTTTCTGAAATATTTGCTAGAGCCCATTAATATATGCTTTATATCATTCCCAGCGTTACAAATCGTGGTAATTGCTGCCCCCATGTAGGAACCTTTATTATTCTCTGAATTGGGGTAACGAAAACTGGAAAACTGGCCACACCGAGGCAACCCTTTCGGGTTCGTTTGTAGGTGAACTGTTATCTGCTATCTGCGTAATCCCATCATGCCCGGCAATCAAATTAATTTGCCATGCCCCAGTTCGCCACGAAATGGCCGACCAACCCTCGTGGCTGAAATTCCGCAGGAAGGACACGGAG